TTACTGGAACAAAACGAACAGAGAATAATTCTTGCAAAAATCTTGTAAAAATCTGATAAAGAATTCTTATTACTTTCTTACTCGATTCTTATCTGATTCTTACGAAAGTCGTGTGACTGCCGGGCCACTTGTTATATAAGAATCTAGTGAGAATCGAATTTATTTTTATTTTCTCTTCCAATTTATGATAGCACTGGAACTAGGGAAAATAGAACTTATATAAATGTGAACTGATAATGACACATTTCTTCTATAAAGAAAACGTCAATACAAAAACAAATAGGTGACCCTTTATGAATGGATAGTAAAATATTAATAGCTCCCTTAGATGTCATTCATTTGTTATTTTTTTAGAATTCGAAGAAAATGGGAAAATTTTTCTTATTTCTTCTGCTCGTGATTATAATCTCATTCACGAATTCTCAATGTTGTCATCATCAACAGGAATTTGATAAGACAAACAAAATACTCCAACAGAAGATATTAACATTTTTAGCTACTTTACAACCGGGTGTATGTTCGAATATCATATTAAATAAAACACAAACAAATTTATTTTCACCAAACTTGATTGGTCGATTTTTACCACAGGGTACATTCAATGCATCGATACAAGCATTTGAATATCTATATGGCATATTTTGTGATATAGAAGGTTTATTACAAAGATCAAATACCGTTCAATCAACAGAATTAAGACAAATTACATTTGATCAAAACAAATATATATGTGGCCTTGAAATAATTTTAAATTTAGCACCAAATAATCTTAGTTTAACATGTTTTGCATTTGTTGCATTTGATCGTGATAATATGATATGTGGTTATGATGCACAAGTAAGAAATAATGGACTTACATTTAATGACCCACCAGAAACAAATGTTCCATTAATTGAAGAAGTATGTCAAGCTGTTCAAGAAATATGCGAAGGTAGTAATCAACAGTATTCAAGTCTTGAAGTTTGTATTAATTTTATGACTAACCAAATACCATTTGGTACATACGATCAGGGTGATCAAAACAGTGTTGTTTGTCGAACAATTCATATTAAGTTAGCCTCAATATCGCCAGATATACATTGTCGTCATGTGGGAAAAACAGGAGGTGGAGCATGTACAAATAAAACATCACAATCCTACTATCAAGATGATAATTTTATGAAATGCGCACATAAACGAAATGAAGCGTGATAATCAAGAGAATGTGCACTCTTATTCAATAAAATCTCATTATTTTGTTTTTATTAAATTTTATTCCCACATTCTTGGTTTTGTTTTCTGAATAAAGGACGATGAACCAGAATCGGTCGACAAGAACCATAATCGGCCCCATTTCATTTCTTCTCGAAAGATGTCTAGAATGAAAGAGCATGTCATCTTATGATGTTTCAGGCCCCTAGTTTCCCTTCGAACTTGATATCTGTGAGAAAATCGATTAGTTTCGACCAATTGTAATTTGTTTAACGTGAAATTGCGAAAATAGAAACAGGTGTTGCCGAATGATAGATTGACACACATTTTTACTGGTGATCAATAATTTGGATGTGCGGGTTTGGATATATTTAAGATGCATGAAAAGCAAAGTTAGAGTGAAATTTATTTTGAAAGTGCGTGACTCAATTTTCGCGCAATGAAAATATCATATTCTGAATCATTGGCAAAAATCGAGTCCAACGATGTATTTTTTTATCATATTCGATCACTTTAATTTTTTTTGAATTTTGGCTTTAATTTTTTTGATTTTTAAAAATCTTCAATGTAGTTTTCTAGAGGAGCAATCGGCGAATCTAGCTATAAATAAATATTGGTTCTAGCACCTCTAAAAAAACCTGTGATAGGTTTACTAAGTCCGTTTCATGTCTTGGAGAGTGTTTGCTAGCGACTTCTCTGGCGATCGAAGGTTTAGGTTAAAAATGGTTTTGACACCATTTCCAAGAATTATTCTCTGTTCGTTTTGTTCCAGTAAGATTTCACAGAAATAACTTTTCTTCGGAGATTTCGTTGAGCCATAGAATTTTACCAATGCAATCTCATGTCTAGAATCCACTATCATAAATTTAAAATTTCGGTGCACTAAATTATATTCCATCGTGATACACGCGATTTCCATACTCAAAATACTAAGCACCACTTGTAACCGAAGTTCAGTTGAAAAATATGTTGTGTTAGAATATAAAGACACAATGTTTATATATAAATGTGTCCGCAGTATTTCAATAAGAGAATCCATCGATTACCAAGAACAACTCACAGGTTGAAACCCTGAACGGACCGGCTTTTTTACAAATTTTAAATTTATGATAGTGGATTCTAGACATGAGATTGCATTGGTAAAATTCTATGGCTCAACGAAATCTCCGAAGAAAAGTTATTTCTATGAAATCTTACTGGAACAAAACGAACAGAGAATAATTCTTGCAAAAATCTTGTAAAAATCTAATAAAGAATTCTTATTACTTTCTTACTCGATTCTTATCTGATTCTTACGAAATTCATGTGACTGTCGTGCCACTTCTTGTTGTTCTCTGTGCCAGGAGCTGTCTTTTCTGTGAAATTTTTAGATTTAAGACTACTTAAAATGAAACAGATGATGATCTATTGATCCGCGCCAACTCGTTAGAATAGACAACAAACGCAGCGTAACTACTTTATAGCAGGATTTTATGCCTAGCAGGTGTAACGCCTCTGAAGGAGAAAAAAGTCTTATAAATACGCAGAAGTAAATGATGAACACGTTCGACTACGTTGAAAACAATGAAATAAATGTAGAGATGTAATAGCAGTAGTTTAGATTTGAAGATGAGGATGGAGCACATGCAAAACTCATCTGGAATGTGAAATTACGATTTCTATACGAAAATTTTCACCTCTTTTAGCTACTCCATTACATCAGGAACTCTAGAATGATTCCAGAGTTCCCAATGAGCCATCGCATTTGCCTTAATCGGAATTTCGACCGATCTGAAGGAATACAAATCAATTCAATTAAGCGGATTAATAAATATAAAAATCACACTAGAATTCAGCAATTCTATACATTTGTTCAAATTATTAACGTGGAGCTCAGCCGATCTTAAGCCCAGCAGATGTTTTATATGCATACATGTTGTGGCCAAAATAAACAGAATACACTACTCTCTAAAAAATAGCGATATAAGAACAACAGACGTTCAAGAAAGATCGCGGAGTTTGGTTCTTCGATGTTATAATACCATCGCTAGTCAGCAAGAATTATCGGGTCCACAGGTGGCTTCATACCTCATGGGATGGCCGGATCACTATACAAACGAAAAATTCGTTAAGTTGTTTCTGATTGGCGTTGAATGTCGTCTACAATTATGTCTAGATGAACTTAAATCCGAGAATAATTTACAACTGGCTACAACTGATACTGATGAAGGTAAGTAGTTATTTTAAGAAAGCTTTTTGCTTCGTCCAGTTTCTGTAACTCTCTCTGTCTCTGTTTAGAGCCAGCAATTGTTGAAATTGATGCTGCTGGAAATAAAGTTGATATTGAAAAGGAAGAAGAACAATTTGTCCTTGAGCGCATTTCCATTGGCTGAAATTTCAAGCAATAAACATTTCTGAAATTTTCTATAGCAAGAGAAAAAAACTATATATACTCATGAAAGTGTGTTCTTCCAAAAATATGAACTTTCTGTTCTTCAAATGAATGATATAAATACTGTTTTCGAATCATTCTAAGTATTCTGGCTGTTGTTTTTTTCTTTCCAAATAAACCAGAACTCTTGTGTCTCTTTGTCTTAACAACTGCCCGCGTACATTGCTTGAAATTTCAGCCAATGGAAATTCAATTAAAACTTCTCTATGAATATATATTCTAAAATTTCCTTAGTGATTTCTTTTTAGCGTATTATGATTAATATCAGCTAGAATGAGACAATTAAGGATGAAAGAAACGATCTGGCCACAGTAGAAGTGAAAAACAGAGTAGAAAGCGACTTACAATCATAAAGAGACGATCGATATCTTATGATTTTCGAGGCTGAAGATAAAGATGAAGACGGTGTTTGTCGAACAATCAACTACAATCATGTTGTAGAGCTCGATGAGCTCTATCTATTTTGATATAAAACAGAAAAAGTTTTCTGAGAGTTTTTGAAATATATGAGCTCAAACTTTTCGTTTTTTTTCCGTAAATCGATCACTGGTCAAAAACACCGATAGCTATCTGGCTAATTCTTTCGCTCTTTTACTTAGATTTCATGCCTCTACATTTTCATCTACGGTAGTCAAGGATTCTATTTGAGTTTGAGAGGAAAATCTCAAAAGTACCCCTGAAACTTCGGACCTCCGAAAAACCATGTTCCACATGTTTTTTTGAAAAACAAGCCTAATGTTCTCGAGCTAATTTTTTATGCTCTGAGGTTCCAAAAAGGGTATCCCAGAATACTACCCTTTTTTGGCTCTGTATGATACGAAATTGTTTAGAGAGCAGTGTGTTCTGTTTATCAGTCATCGCAATCATCAAAAATGAACTGATAGAATTGTCCCTAGATGTCACTAATTGGTTGAGATAAGTTACTAATTAGAACTAGCGTCAACGTCGTCTAGGTGGACAACAACACTTAAAGGTCACTAATCGATAGTCTTCAATAAACTAAGACAAAAGCGTTAAATATTATGATGCTTGGCAGCCTTACCGTAAAGCTTCGATACATAAAGATCCCATATCTCCGATTCTAGTTGACTAAGTTCACCAATTCATCGGAAGGCACCGTGAAAAATTAAGCCCGGAAACATCTTTTCTTTAAAGAAAATTAGATTTTAGTGGTGAAATGTAATGAAAGATAGAACTGTGTTTTTGATACTGAAAAGTGAGTCAAAACTACGACTGTTATGCATCAATAAAATCGTCGTTCGTGTCAAACTTGATACATCATGAGGCAAAAATATGCACGCGTTGAAGTGCGTAAGCAGGTTAAACAGAGGATGTTTTACCGCTAAAGATTAAAGGGAGGCATCCACGGATGCTATACGTTTTTCTGTACTTTTTTTGTCATATCCTACCTCTGCTTAGAATAAATTTAATTCAATTCAGTTCGAAAATCAATACGTCCGCCATATATAAAGTAACTGAAGAAAAGCTCCGAAAACCGTGAACAAAAAAATATTCGTATTCTATGTTATGAAATAAATATTATAATATTGTAAACCTGTGCCCAACTGATTTCATTTTGATGAAAAATTGGTTTAGATAGCAATAAACAATATTTTAAACTAATAACAGTACCAATAAATGCCAAAAAGAAAAGAAA